TCTGCGTTTTAATTCTCTCCGTGACAAGCTCAATGTTTTGGCTACCCAACCTTGTGCTTGAGAGGGAGTATTAGGACTATATTATTCATACTAGACTAGGACTATATTAGTCGTGTTAGACTAGGACTCTATCTAGTATCTATATATTCGCTCTCTGTACTATCAGACATCATGATTGAATAATTCAATACTTTTACATACATTTTCATCCATACTCTTAAATTTTAAAATACACAAATTCATAACACAAGACACAAAAACTCAAAATATAAGACATAATCTCCATCCTAGATAATTACTTGTACCTTCGTAAACTCAATCGTAATTAAAAATACCTCACATTTATAAATTCTTATCCATTATCCAACTGTGCATGTGATTATTTATACACTTTATAACTCCAAATTAAATAATCACACAGGTATTGAAAAGTGGCTAAGGATTACATATAGTGTGATCCATGCCTGGCCTATAAGACAGTATAGATTATTTGTGATGTCAACATTTAGGTAGTCTTTACCCTCATCTTCAAGTCTTTACACATTTGTGTTGTGTAACATTTCAGGTAGAATATGAAATGTTAAAAAATGGAAATTAGCAGTGTTTTCATGCAACTCTTTTAAAGGGTTTAGTTAGGTTTAACACACCTTATAAAAGGAATAATACAAATAAATAGTACTCTGATCTGCTATAAAAGAAATGGAAAAGAATGTTTTGATCCAACTCTTTTTTTCACGGCTGGAAATTTGCTATTTTCGACCACAGAAAAGTGGTCGGAAACACTAGTTTCAAGTTTCAACCACATATCCGACCACTTATGATATTCGGAAAACCCTTTTCTTAATTTCCGACCACCACGTAGGGTGGTTGAAAATAACGTCCACTATTGTAAAGCGGTCAGAAAATTTGGTCGGAATTACTAGATCTAATTATTTAAATGGGATAGTTTCCGACCACCTTTGATGGTTGGAAAGTTATCAAGTAAAAACGAAAAAAAAAAAAAAAATCATTTCAATTCTCTGTAGGAAAACAGATTCATTTTACTTCACAGTTCACAATAACAAATGAATAGAATCAACAATATAACATAACAGAGCCAAATGAACACAAGGAAGTTTGAAGAGCATAAAAAATGGTATTTACAATAATACTTAAATAATATATTTCAGATCTTGGAGAACTCCAATTTGTCCTCATTCTTGGCTGAAGTCCGCACAAAACTGATGTTGTCTTTTGTTTTGGACAATCTGTCAAATGGGTGCATATATACATAAGATAGATGAACAAAGGTTAAAAAGAAGAAAAGGGAGAAGCACAACATCCAAACAAAGGTATGCAGATTCCAGAATTGGCTCAATAATCATAATAAGTATAAAGTATTAACTATAAGTAAATAAGCGGCATTTCAATTTAATAACATTAATACATTATATAAATCTAGTTTATTTAATCTAGAGCTTAAACAAAGTGTCCTTTGCAGTTCATTTCATTTCAAGAGCAAAGTTCGCAGGATACAAGTATGCAAATAATGTACTAATTAAAAAGAGGGAATAAGAATATATGTATAGAGCTAAACCAAATAATTCAGAATCAATAATTAGTGGCTCAATCCAGGGTCAATATTCAACCAAATTCATAATCAAATTTGTACTGTACAGACTTCACTTTCAATTTTTTTCACCTAGCTTCTAGGTGTCAGACCATCATATAACTTATTGGTGAAAACAAGCAAGCAAACAAACAAAAACTACTAAGTTTTTTAATGAGAGTAAAGGTATTAGATAATAGTTCAATAAAGAATTTCCTTTGACAACATAGTAATGGCTGCAAATTAAAATTGATTAAAGAACATTTAGTTTTGAACTTGAAAGCAAACACAAAAATATTATTAAGTTTCTTTGAGTTTTGAATGCAGGAAAACCGAAAACATAACACACTACTGGAAATTATGGAATTTTCGATCACATGAAAGTGATTTTAAATCAAGTTGAAAGCCTTGCTCCGATCACTTCTGGTATCCGGAAAAACTTTTATTGCTATTTCCGACCACTTTTTGCTTGCGACTTGATTTAAGATCACTTTCAGGTGGTCGGAAATTTCATAATTTTCAGTAGTGACAGATTCTTTAGCAGTTTGTACAAGTACTATGATATATACCTTAGCAGGGATTTGGTTGAAGAAGGTATGTTTCACTATGTTCCACCAATTGTCCTAATTGATTGCTCTAACTTCAGAACCAATTGCTCCAGAGTATCTGCCTATAAAGGAACTTATTAAGTAAAACTGATAAAAACAACAAATGCATGGAAGAAAGACCAACTGGGAGATCATAACTCTAAATTATTCCTGTAAATTCCAAATCAGCTAGGAACCTATGCAACAATAGCATAAAATTGTTGATAAGTTAAGACATAAGAAGTAACATGTGCAACAATAGCATAAAATTCAGAATTTAAGCTTAGACCTCTACAAGTCACAGACATATTTAAGACATCTATAATTGTAAGATATATTAAATATAATATATATTATACATAATATATCTATGTATTTATATATAATAATATATAAATAGGAAGAGAGAGAGAGGAAGATTAGAATGAATAATGTTTATTCACTGGGATGATTTAACAAAAGAAAATAAACCACATATTTATACTAAGAGAAAGCTAATAAATAGGAAGCTAATGCTCCATGTACTACTCCTATAATCTATGCATGTTCTACATTAACATACATGACTCACCCATGTTTGTTTTTATTAAATTCTTTGACTTGGTTTAATTACTAATAATAATAATATTATTATTATTATTATAACATTGCCTCCTTTAAACCAAGTTGGACGTATTGGTCATCCCAATATCTCCTTCTTCAATTATTGGATATACTGACTTGTATTTCGTTCTGTAAACCCACTTTGCTCCAATTGGCTTCTTCCCAGGAGATAAATCTGTGAACTCCCAGGTACCATTCTTTTCAATGACACGTATCTCCTCATCCATCGCCTTAAGCCAATGAGTTTCTGTAGCAGCCTCCTCAAAAGTTAAAGGATCACAATCTGCAAAGAGAGCAAATTGAATAATCTCTTCATCAGACAGGTCATTATCATGACCCAAAACATAATCTTGCAAGCGAGCTGGTAAGTGGCGCTCGCGCTGAGATCGTCGAACTGACGATTCTGGCTCTGAAGGAGACTGGACATGATCTGGAATCGGTTGCTCATCAACAATATTTTCAACAACAGGAATAACAACTGAACTTTCATCTTTAGCTAACCAATCTCAGGCACCATATTCATCAAAAGTGACATCACGACTTATAACAACCTTCTTAGTTTCAGGATTGTATAGTTTATAAGCCTTTGAAGCGTCACTATAACCAATGAATATGCATTTCTCACCTTTATCATCCAACTTCTTTCTCAATGGATCTGGCACATGTGCATATGCCAAACATCCAAAAACCTTGAGATATTTGATAGAGGGTTTTCTCCCACTCCATGCTTCTTCGGGTGTCTTATCACTGACACTTTTAGTTGGACACCTATTCAACACATAGACAGCACAAGCAACAGCTTCTGCCCAAAAAGGCTTAGGCAGATTCTTGGATTTCAACATGCACCTTACCATATCCATGATAGACCTATTCTTCCTCTCAGCCACTCCGTTTTGTTGTAGAGTGTATCTAGCTGTCATTTGGTGCTGAATACCCTTTTCTTTCAGAAAATCATCACAGGCAATATATTCTGTACCTCTATCAGTTCTCAAGATTTTAATCTCATAACCACTTTGCTTTTCAACAAAAGTCTTAAATTGTTTGAAAACATCACATGCTTCAGACTTTTGCTTCAGAAAGTAAACCCATGTTTTCCTACTGAAATCATCAATGAAAGTAATAAAGTACTTACAACCTCCATGTGAGGTAACCTCCAACGAACACAGGTCTGAGTGAACAATCTCCAACTGTTTTGTAGCTCTTATTGACTTGCCCACAGGGAAGGGATCTCTATGCTTCTTCCCAATCACACAAATCTCACATATACGATCAGGGACATTCACAACAGGTAAATCAGAAACAAGTTCCTTTCTCGCAAGATAGTTTAATCCAGAGAAATGAAAATGCCCAAACTGCATATGCCATAACCAATTATCATCACAAACTTCAGAATTAAAGCAATCAAGGAGAGTATGCTTAATTTTCAAAGGAAATAGTCGATTTTGGGACATATTTACCTTTGCAATCAAAACTCCTTTAGAATCTTCAATGGTACAACACCCCTGAGCAATATGTATCTTATATCCTTTTTCTGACAGCTGACCCATACTCAACAAATTTTGGTCTGGTTCAGGAACATAGAACACATCGGATATAAAATTTTGAGTACCATCCTTCAACTGAATAGAGATTTTACCTTTTCCCAAAATTGGCACCTTTGACTTATTGCCAAATGTCACTTCAGACCGGATTGATTCATCCAGTTCAGAAAACAATTCTTTCTTACCACCACTAGTACAAAAAAAGCTTTTAGAGTCACCCATAAAACACTTTCCGAGTCACCTGTACAGGTGACTCGGATCTTGGAGACTGTGATTGTCCTCCGCTTTCCGAGTCACCCTTTACGGGTGACTCGGAAAGTGGAGGATGATTTTTTTTTAATTTTTTAATATGGACTTTCTGAGGCACCTGCTCCGCTGCAGGTGCCTCGGATAGTCCTTTTTTATTATTTTATTAATTTGTTTCCGAGACACCGGGTGCCTCGGAAAGTTACCATTTAAAAAAAAAAAAATATATATATATATATATATATATATATATATATATATATATATATATATATATATATATATATATATATATATAGAAAAAATTACCAAGAAGAAAAATTTAATAAAGAAATATTTTTTTTAAAGGCGTTATTCATTGCCACTAAAACAATGTTTTACATGTGACCCAAAAGTGGTCACCCCACAAGGGCATAATGCCTATATAAACCACTAACTAATCTATAATGCCACATTGCCTTAGTGAAAATCAATACTAACCAAATCTGTCATTAACGAATGTTGTCATCAACGAATCCAACATCACAAATTTTTCCAACTGTATGCTCGTGGATGTACTCTAGCCCAAGTTCCTCTTCGATGCGTAGAAGCTGCGACGAGATTGAAATAAGCACAGATTCAGTCATGCATGTCAAGAAATCTGCAATGAAATTGTCCAGCCAGACATAGGAATTCTACAGCCGCTACAAAATCTGAATCAGAACCCCTGGGGAATTAAAACAACCAATTTTGCTAAATGAAAATAAGGTTTTGAAATGCATCTTTAAGGGAGAAACCCTCTATATTTGTAAATACTACCTGGCTAAAGTCGTAAAGTGCAAACACATTAACAAAGAAGATTATTATAGTTTAATTTTAATTATCCAAATATAAATTAATTAATATACATTATAGTCTATTTGAATGATAGAAGTAAGCATACAGCTTCAAGAAAGAAACTACTGGTGGACATTTCATCATAAATGTAGCGTCTTTTCTTCTATGAGACATTATGAATTTATATAGCATTGAAGTAAATCTAAGAATACATAAATGCATCATACTTCAGGAAATTAAATTTATACTGCCACAAGTCCACCACCATTCAACCAATATCCCCAAAACAATAAGGCAATAATAAGCAGTCTGTATCAAAAACAAAAAGGAGAAAAAAAAATCAGGTAATTACTTACTGTCCAAACCGTATTACATCACCAACATGCAGCTCCACAAAAGTCCTTCTATTCACCTATGTAATTTGGGAGAATGCAATCACCATAAAGTCCTTTAAACATAATTGAGTTGAGCCACAAACCAAGGTGAATTAAATTAGCTAACTTTACATTCCTTTGCCTTCCACCTAAGAAAAAACCCAACAAAAGTTAAACCAATGGTGATGCTCTATGGGCAAATGACAGTTATTAGTTGAATTGGGTTGAAGAATTCATACACCACAAAGTTAAACCAATTGATGCTTCTTCTTTTGGATATTTCAACTTTGCCTCCAAGTCTTGCAAAAGAGGACCTCTTCCCTTGAGGCGAACCAAGAGATGCAAAGCCCATTGACTATGAGCTATGCAAAACCAACAAAACTGAATAACATGAAAGTATCAATCATATTAACAAAATCAAAAATTGAATTTAAACTATTGAAATCAAATAAATTAATGGTGTTCGTGTTGGGTGTGAAGGAACGGTGCCCTTCCGGTCAATATTGGAGGGAGAAGTATATAGTCTAACCAAGAAATGAATACAACAGTTCTGTCAGAAATGCTTATTCATTCCATAAATGTAATGACAAGTAGGAATTATGATGCATAAATTACAGGCCAGCTGAATGTTCTCCACTCCAATAACTTAAAAGGTTATATATAATTGAAATCATAACGATATCTCCAACGCCAGCGGTGGCTGAGGCAGGCATTGTGTCGACGGTGGCGGTGGAGCGTGGCAGGAGCGTCGACGGCCGGCGGAGGAGACAGATCTGAGAGGGTGAGAGTCAGAGTCAGCGGTTGTGGCGGTGGAGGCGGTGGTTGCGTCGGGTGAGAGTGAGAGAAAAAGGGAGAGGCAGAGTGACATTTGAGCGGAGAAGATGGATAGATTAGAGTGAAATAATTTAGATTTTGGTGTGATTTTCTAAAAAGAAAAAAAAAATTGGAAAAACATATCAGATTTGGAGGATTTTCCGCGGCTCCTTCATTGGAGAAGGTGCCTCGGTAAAATTAAATAATAAAATAATAATAAACTTTCCGAGGCACCTTCTTGGGAGGGTGACTCGAAAAGTTTATCAAATATTTTATTGTTAAATTCTCCGTGGCACCCCTAAGAGAGGGTGCCTCGGAAAGTTAAATAATATTTTATTATTTAACTTTTCGTGGCACCATTTTCCTGGACGTGCCACGAAAAATCCGAAAATATTTTTTTTTTCTCTTTTTTTTTTTTAATCGAAACTATTTTTCACTACACCTTTAAAATAAAGGTGTAGTGTATTCTTATTTGTTTCAACTATTCACTACACCTTTATTAAGAGGTGTAGTGTAAAGCTATACTTATATGTTCATTTTTGTAGTAGTGCACACATATGGTTACTACACCTAGTATCCAAGAACCATATGTTTTTATCTGCAGAAAAACTATCACTGGCCAAAAGTAAGGTTTCAGAATTCTCACCAGACTTTTCAGCAGTATTTTCAGCAATGTTTGCTTGATTTCCACGATTGTTGTCCTCATTATACCAACAATCTGCAATCTTGTGCCCATACTTGCCACAATTGTAGCAATGAAATGGAAATTTACCTTGTTTGGTATTACCTCCACCTCTTCCTTGATTGGAGTTACCACGACCTCTTCCACTAAAACCTCCTCTTCCTCTTCCACGACCTCTACCAGATCCTCCACCTCTTTGATTAGTGCCAGTCACATTAAGGGTGACTTGGCTCTTCAAAGCTTCTTCTGCTAGTGGTTCCGATTTTGACGCAATCCTGTCAATATGACTTTCTACCATACCTTTCAGCTCTGCAATTGATAAGAGCTCGGTTTTGTGTGACTCTGTTATTGAAGCCACCACATGGTCATACTTCATCGGCATAGTTCGAAGAACTTTTTCAACCACTGCACCATCTTCAATCGTATCTCCATATAGCTTCATCTTATTCACCATATCAATAAGACGAGTGAAATACGCATCTACTGTTTCTGTAGAGGTCATCTCACAATTATCGTACAACCTTCTCAACGACTGCAACTTAGACTTCTGTGCCCGATCGACTCCTTTGTGTGACACCTTTAAGATGTCCCAAGTTTGTTTTATTGTTTGAGCACGAGCTAATTGCCCAAAAATGGAATAATGAACACCTTGGTGAATCTGACCCAAGGCCAATTTATCTCGCCGTATAGCGGCTGCATCAGCTCCTTCGTGTAGACCGGGATCAACAAAGCTCCAAAGATTTTGAGCTTGCAAATGTGTGGACATCATAATTTGCCAATAATTGTAATCGAGTTTACCGTCCAATTTGGGACCCGACCATACAATATTGAAATTTGTTGCCATATTTCACTACGGGAAATATTTCGGGGTTGAAAGATTGAATTGACTGGCTCTGATACCAAATGTAAGATATATTAAATATAATATATATTATATATAATATATCTTTGTATTTATATATAATAATATATAAATAGGAAGAGAGAGAGAGGGGGGAAGATTAGAATGAATAATGTTTATTCACTGGGATGATTTAACAAATGAAAATACACCACATATTTATACTAAGAGAAAGCTAATAAATAGGAAGCTAATGCTCCATGTACTACTCCTATAATCTAGGCATATTCTACATTAACATACATGATTCACCCATGTTTGTTTTTATTAAATTCTTTGACTTGGTTTAATTACTACTAATAATAATAATATTATTATTATTATTATAACGATAATAACTAACAAGAAAACATGATTCTAGGGCTAGGATTGAGAGTACAGTACATACAGTTCAAAATGATATGATATGAAGTGATGGCATTGCAATTATATATAAAAGATAAAAGAAGCTCATCATATTACCTCACAGTTGCCAAGACCTTGAACATCATGTGGTAGTTTCATGGCTGCAAGATCACCATAGGTGCAGTCTCTTCTGAAGGGCAAGATTGGAGGAACCATAAACTGGTGGAACACTACTGGAAATTATGGAATTTTCGACCACCTGAAGGGTGATCTTAAATCAAGTCGAAAGCCTTGTTTCGATCACTTTTGGTATCCGGAAAAATCTTTATTGCTATTTCTGACCACTTTTTGCTTTCAACTTGATTTAAGATTACTTTCAGATGGTCGGAAATTCAATAATTTCCAGTAGTGGAAGTGGGCTCCCGGAGGTGCAAAGTTTTGTTCTTTTGGTGTGATCCACTTCCCAACTATCCATGTCTGCATATGCATGCATGCAATATAATAATGTCATTAGTAAACTATGTAATAATTAACTTTGAATATGCCGCATCACAACTTAATTACATATATACCTTGCAGTTTTTGGCAGCCTGATATTTTTGACCTGGACCAACAACTTTTGGCAATGAGCAGGGGCTTCCTTCTGGATCTTCTGCAATCTCTCTGTTCAATGGGTCAACATCTGTACTGACATAAAGTGCACAACTCCATCCATCACTTTTAATCAAACAGATTAATTAACTAGATTACTACTGAAACGTACTACTGATTCTAGCTATGCTATTAATTATTTAATCATTATTATAATTAATATATATAATATAAATTATACTTGACATGGACTTCTGTCTGCAACTACATGCATATAGGCATAAATAACCAACTACTTCTCAAATAATCCGAGATATATACATGCTCAATAATCCTAGATATAATATATACATTTAAATAAGGGAAAATTGTAATTTATGCCCCTCACAAATATGTCAATTATCAATCTCACTCCTGAATTATCAGTGGTGTAAATGTTGCCCCTCAATTTTCAAAATGTGAAATATATTGCCCCTCCCCTAATATGAAGATGGAGACAAATTGTTGTCGACGGAAGGAGAATAAGCGAAGAAAGAAAAATTGAGGAAAAAACTGTGGTCTTCGAACAAGAAAGATGACGGGTAACCACATTTACATCACTAATAATTTAGGGGAGGGGCAATATATGTCACGTTTTGAAAATTGAGGGGCAACATTTACACCGCTAATAATTAAAGGGTAACATTGATAATTGACATATTTGTGAGGGGCATAAATTACAATTTTCCCTTTAAATAATTAAAGTGATCAATTAAGTTTTAAATATAGATTGTAACTAATTTAATATGAGGTCAACTACTATACGTAAGAAACTTACCAGAACTCTAACTCTTCGTTGGCAATGGTAAAGGGCGATGGCCCGACCAAGTTTGGAGGTGGCTCCGGTTAAGAAAACCTCAGTAACATCCTCAGGAATGTCATGTAATATTACAGCAGTTGTTTAGGTGTATGTTCCCATGAACAACTCTAACCTTAAATTAGATTTTATCAACCACTCATGTCTTTTGTTAGGATTAGCTTCACAAGAATAAATTAGTAGCTAGTATCTAGTGCTTGATACGCATCACTTCCCAATGAATCGATAACTACGAGTAATTTTTTGTTTGAAAAATATACTACAATCACTGAGCACATGCATAGATTGATAAGTCATTTATTGATTACTATTTAAAAATACAGTTTAAAGTTAAACAAAGACATTAATATTTGGTTTATTGTTCTTGGATAGAAAGAAAAGCTTGGAGATGAGCCCTTGCATGCAGCGCTGTTCCAAGTCACACACAAACGCAGAAAAACAGATGAATATGTGTGCAAAAAAACTTAACAAGTAATGGTAAAATACTAATGGCATATTTGGTTCATGGAATAGGTCAGGAATTGAATAACATTCCTTGGAATAGACCTATTCCATCATTTGGTTGGATCATTTTGCCATGGGAATAGCATGCCTAGGAATGAGTTATTACCTTTGCAAGGGGAATAGTCATTCCTAGGGGGGGCTTTGGTATTAGCTATTCCCATGCCCGTAGGAATAGCTTTTATATCACAAATACCAAAAATACCCTTTGCACATTATATAATATTTATATTTATTTAATAAATATAGTGTATTACATAAATGTATATTTTAATTAATTATAATTTTTATCCATCAATTTATCAATAAATATATATATATATATATATATATATATATATATATATATATATATATATATATATATATATATATATATACACATATACACACATATTTTGTAGCGTTTGCAATTGGCATTTTGAGAAAAGAAAAGTATTTTCTCAAAACACCGGCCTTGACAGTTTATTATATATATATATATATATATATATATATATATATATATATATATGTATGTAAATAAAAAAAATTTAATTGTATAAGACTCCTTAATTTTGGAGCCTTGGCTCCTAAATTAAGTAGTCTGCTCATCTGCATGCCTAATGGATGGGCATTGC